TTAATATTTGAATATTTCATTTACAGCCAAGGATGCCAAGCAGGATCCATGCGACATAAGTTGTCCGTATTCGTGGCGGATTGTATGAGTGCCGAAATTTTCTTCTTTTCAATATTGTCGAAATAGGATATCTTATTCAATCGCAATAAAATAACATCCACAGCTGAATTAACAACCCGAATAGTGTGCTCCATTGTATTATTATCAACCGAAGGCTCCTGCGATGCATCTAACAATTTACTCTGCCTAAATCCTTTCTTCTGCAAAGTGATTATCTCATCTCTGAGTATAGTTTGTAGAATAGAACTCAGTTTGTAGTTCGGCTGAATAAAGCAACGAGCTGTGGCTACAATTGCCGCGGACAATAGTCCAGAAATTCCAATACTTGTTATGAACTCGCCAATGTTTGGTGTCAGCCTGAATGGCACTGGTCGATGCTGATTAAACTGTTCCTTATCATCATTGATATCGAACTTAAAGTATGATATATTCATAAGTCCAGAGTCCTGATGAAGGTACATCATATCTGGATTGAGACGTGTCAAGTTTAGAGCGTGCTCACACAGATATGATAGCGCCAACTGAAGTGTTAACTGAAAATACAATAATAATTTAAATGAATCAAGTTTTTACGATTTTCCTAATAGGTAATCTAAAAAGTTTATTAAGTTTTGTCTTAATTCTACGACGAAGCAACTTACCATTTTTCTAAACTGCCAATAATCCGTGGCCGCAGCAAAGGTATTTAATGCCCATTGCCTTAGCAAAGTCTTTGGTACCATGGTGCACTGAACTTCGGTGAATATTTCTCTTAAAATTGTATGCGAAATGGGAGTTCCTTGGGCTTGCACTTCAGAGAGGCGTTCATAATACCTAACTATTGGCATGTCGTAGTCAATTTTGGCGTTATTACAACACTTCTTAAATATCTTGAGCAGTGAGACACTATTCGGATTATCTTCAGCAAGTCGCATTTGTGGTGAAATTGGCACAACTCGCGGCACAGTTATATTTAAGAATCGTCGACTGGTCTCCTTTTGCTTTTCCAAATAATAGTTTAGCATTCGCTTCAGCTGCAATACGCGTTCCTCACGGCGAGCATCGCCTAGTCCTGAGTCGAGTACTACGAGGTAAGGATATATTTTACCATTTGTACCTCTTATATATAGCCTGCGAGCTGCAGTGTTATTTTTCTGCACTATTTCCACGCGTGGCATGAACCGAGCAATGCGCACATAATAATGTGACGATGACGGAATTAACAGCTCTCCGGGCAGTTCTACTTCGGCAGTTTTCTGACTAAAGTTCGATAGGAATCGGCATTTGTCCTCTATTAAAAAGGACGTCGGTAGCTTTTTCACTTTTGTTTCTAATACTTTTATCCATGTTTTCAGTTTGGAAATCAAATTATGTAACTTCATTGCTCCGGGCTTCGAAAAGTCGAAATCATTTGTAAATTGTTCTTTCATTTTTTGGAAGACAGGATCTTGAAACGTTACTTGTGCCCGTCGTGCCAACGACTCCGATGCAGCCGAGTGCGATATGGAAGAGGCGACAGATCCTGGAACATTTTCTATTCCAATACCGAAAGTTGATCCAAGCTTCTTGACAAAGTGTAGCGTGTGCGGGGTTATGGTAGCATTCACCACTGTGCTGCGATTCTCAAATGCTATGGCATAACATTTAATTAGGCCCTGCCGCAACTGACGCAAAACTTCCTCTGTCCAGCTCTCTCTAAACCAAACCATTTGATCGACAATTCCTTCCAGGGAACTCAAAATTGTGGGGTGAACTTCCCGCTGCAGTTGCATTACTTTTGAACATCTCCACATAGGTGGTGTAGCCTTGATAGGATTAACTGATGGAACTCCCGTTTGATTTCTTCCGCCAACTGATCCCATATTCTCCATAGTCTATGGAAATTAATTTAAATCAGTTTATAGTCCATTTAATAAACCATTTAATAAACCTAATCTCTAGTACTTACTGAAGATGTTAATTTGCCAGCGAACACCGCCTGTTCAGCTGATTTATGCTTTTCCCTCTGCTCAATCTTTAGGGTAAGGTACAGAGTTCGAATCGGGAAATAGACTGCCTGAGGATATAGTCTCCCAATCTATAAAGAAAGCCCATTAAACACAATCCTTTTCATTATATTGTAGCTTAACTTACCTGGCTTAACAGATTCAATATTACGTCGCCCTCGAATTGCTCCAAGCAGCATAGCAGTTGAGGTATCCAAGGTAGCCAATACGATGGCGGAATTCCAGACACGTATTTCTCAAAGGTGCTTATTAGAGTGTCGCTTGAGCTATCGTATGACAAGAACCATAAGACCTTTGCAATATACTTTCTGGTTTTGCTTTCATTCTGATTGCGACAAGCATGCAGAAAGCAGATTAACGCGTTAACACCATGGGAGATTTGTTTATCCTTCAGGTAAATCTGCTCCATATAGTCGCCCCACATAGCCCACGCCTTAGTGAGACCATCGTGAAGCTGAACTGCTGCACTGAACGCTTTGCCAGCTTCCTCAGTGCGTCCAATTTGCGTTAAGAGCAAGCCTTTCAGTGCATAAAATTCAGCATTCATCTCGCCCGTGAAATACTTTAGATTTGTTAATTCAATCACTTCAAGCGCTTCATTTATCTCATTGCGTCCCGATGTTGAGGGCATTTGTAAATAACATTTTACTTGCTGGCGTATTTTCTGCAAGAATATATGAAAATATTATATTAATTGCTTTTGTATTAGTTTAAATTGTATTCTATTACCTGGAAGCAATCCACTATTGGCACGGCGGGTATTGTGTATATTCTAGATAATGTCTCCTGGCACACTCCAGTCAGATTATGTTTCCTCGCTATTTTGCCGAAGGAAATAATAGCTTGTGCTGACGCATGCACTCCCAGCATTGTGCTGCCTTGATCCGACTGTTGTTCCAGGTGCTGCGTTATTATTTGATAGTGATGTTGTCTCCAGGTGAAAATGTCGCTCCAATGTGATAGATCATCCGATATAATGGGTAATCTATTGCGCCATGTTTTCACAATGGCTTTCATATCGTGCAGCGAGGAATTTCTGGACTGCGTTAAGCCCTGATGAATTTGGCTTGCTTCGTGCAATTCCATAATTTGCTGTGAGGCCTGCAGATATGGCAGGTGAATGTGAGATACAATTTTCGGCAAGCGCCGCCATTCTCTGATACATAAGCTGGAGGCAATCTCCACATAGCGCTCCACACTAGCCGCCTGTCTATCCTCTTGATACAGGATTGACAAATATCCTTTGTACAAGTTCAATTTAAATCCATATTGCTTGGAATAACACTGCTCCGTTTTGGACAGTGCATTCTTCATCAGATTCCAGTCGGGTACGCGCCAAGAGCTTTCCAGAATCAAGAACATATTTTTCTCTCTATTCGTCTGAGCATAGTCCAATAAAATGTCCCACTGATTTAGTTCTTTCGCACAGCGCATCCAATGTTCCTCCCATAGCAACAATTCGCTGTTAACATCAATATTTATCTGGCCGCTGTTCAAGTCCTGTTTAAACTTTGTCATGGCTAGGTCGTAGGCACCCTGGGCTTCTTCAAAGAAGCCCATTTGCTCATATGATATGGCAATATTTGTTTCGGGATAATGCCCGTACTTCAGCCAAAGGCCAGCCCAAAGATCTTCCTCGTGCATCGCTGAGTACATTTTGGAAAGGGAATCGTAGATGTTATTCAAATTTTGTATATCCGATTCTGGCTGAGTTACATCCGGATTGCTCAAATCATTGCGCGTAGAGTATTCCATGGCCAAATCTTCTAGCACTAAGATGGCTCTGTGCCACAGATTATGCGATTTACCCAAATATGTTAAGAGATTTGGAGGAATATAAATCGAGGGTGTGCAATGAGTGAGGCTCTCCACAAATGTATTCAGCGTACTGGGACTGCAATCCTTCTGATTTACGTTCGTGCCAGATGACAGGAACGGTATTAATTCCTTCGATATATTAATTCTCTGGTCATCAGTGAATATACCCCAAATACTAGGGAAAATTGAGAGCCACACGCTCTCGGCTAGCTG